AAAAAAAAAAAATGAAGAGGAAAGTACAACAAAACACAACAATCTCTTTTTTTTATTCTTATTCTTATTATTTATGTAAATCAGGTCATCACTGGACAAGAAACCAATTTCTACCCATTACCATAACAGCTTGTCTATAAAGAACAGAAAAAAAGATTCAGATAGAATACTATCTAGTCAAGCGGTTTTTTGTTGGTTTTGTTTTTTTACTATTTTGTTTTTTTTTTTCTTATTTTTTTTTTCTCTTTTTGTTTTTAAATTCCCCCACCCATTCACAGAGGTATAGATTCACAGATAAATAACCCAAAAACTACTTGCTCGCCATATTTACACATTCCCGTTAAATTAAGCATAAATAAATATATACAAACTCAATACTGAATGCCTCTCCGCATTTCTTCTCAGGAAGAGTCGATAAACTGATATTTCTCACTGCATGGTCAGATTTTTTTTTTTTTTTCCCAAGACGAGGAGGTGAAAGGGATCATTTGGGGCTTAGGAAGGAGAATTGTTGTTTATTTATTTATTTGTTTGTTTATTTATTCATCTTTCCAGTTTCTCATTTATGTTTTCWTAGCTTTGCATGTGTTTGGTTTTCCCTTTCCTTATCGCTGGCACGCAAGGCTTAGTCTTTCTCGAAATGCTCAGACGCTTGTCAGGCGTTTGGGGATCCTTTCACTGTTGTTGCATAAGAAAATATATTTTCTGTAAAAAGCCTAGAGTGTATCTCACCCAGGGAAACCCGAGGGGAAGGGGCGCCTGGCCGGATAACAGGGCGACAGGGACCTGCTCCTTGCCCCGGGCAGCTTAAACGAGCACCAACTTCTCCCATAAAAAGTACTAAAACAGAGGAGTTCGTGTTACCCGGTCAGAGAAAGATTAGCAGTAGAAGGTAATGAGCTCTTGGGCACAGCTAGAGTTTTAAAACTCCCTCCCCTCCATCCTCTCAGACCCGAAAGCAAAAATTCGGGGATTTGTGGGGGGGAAAGGGGAGAGGTTGTTCTCGATACGAGCCTGGGATTGCTCCCAGGAAGGTCTTCCCACTCGCCCAACTGGTCTCTGGCCATGAAGGGTGCGATGCGAGGAGACTTTAACGGAGCTTCTCACAGAGAATTGCTATTAGGTGGGACAAGACACAACCCGGTTTTAAAGAGCTAAGCCGGCTTTAAAAGGGAATCCCCTCCGAAAGTGGCTTCTCGTTTCTTTCACACCTTGTGTGAGTAACAACCAGGAAAAAAAAAAATAAAAAGCAAAGATCTTTCCAAATGACAAAAAAAAAAAAAAAAAAAAAAAAAAAAAAAAAATCAAGGAAAAAAAATACAGAAGTGAGGCTAAGATTGAAGTAAAATTTACAATAACCCGCCTGTTTGGTTTGAAAACAAACTTTTCACCATCTCTTCTCAAACTTTTTTCCCTTGTGTTTAAGAGCAGAGCAGCCGTGTTAATGCTCCTGTTTATTGATTTACGATCCCAAGGAAATCAAATCTTTTAATAACTCAATTATCAGAGTTGCCCCAAGACGAGGAGCCGGGCTGGGAAGCACAGGGAATCACTGGTCCATTCAGGCAGGCTATGGTGGGATTTGGAGAGCTGGAGGCTGTGTTTTGCTCTCCTGGGGGGGACCTCGGTACAAAGGATGTGGCCAACACTAGACTATGGGGAAGAACAGGGATGGTAGAGTTCCTGTGCCATGTTTTCTACCTGTTTGCTTTTCATATAGAAACCTCAGGGACTTTGTCTCAGGATTTTGGGAAGCAGCTGAAGGGAATCTGCTCTAAACCTCGCAAACTCTTTAGTTTTGCCTGAGTAAAGCCCATCCTGGTGTTTGCAGCTGAGTGGCAGGTGTGAGATGAACATCCAGCTGCTAGGAGTCAATTGAAACTTTGACCTCCTCAGGGCTTGGATCCTGCTCCAAGTGAYCCAGTCTGCATCCAAGGGGGATTGCAGCAGGTGCAGACCTTCACATATGTACGTTCATGCACACATGTGCATGCAACTCGTCCCTCAAGACACTGCAAGCAGTCTCCTCTTCCATGCTTTCTTTGCATGCTTTTAAAAGAAAGGAGCATCCCCAGCACCCCCAAAGCCTTTCTACTGCAAGCTCCTCAGGGACGGGAAGTGAGTCCCACTCTCACTGTCCCAGCTCAGGAGCTGGATGCACTAACCTGAGATGTCCCTACTCAGGAGTGGGATACTGCAGTTTTGGGAGAGTTTGTTGAGCCTTTGGGCCCTGTGCAAAGGCTGTTTTTGCAGAGGGAGGCAGAGCTSTGTGTAACACTTGGTGTTTGGCTTAGAAAGACAGGACTGTCTTGCGTGAAGAAGAAGGGAGTTGTGATACCATGAAGATTTATACCTGCTGCTTCCATCACAAATCCATATATCCCTTCACTTCTCCCACCACACAGCTGGGGCTTGCCTTGTGCTGGAGCTGGGGTTATCCTCCTCCATGATCCTGCTGAAATTGAGAGTCTGGTTGGCAAAGGGGTGGCCTTAAGAGGGTAAGGGTTGCTTGGGGTCTAAAGATCAATCTGAGGGCCAAAACCTCCAGATGAAGGAGGTCTACAACCCACAGGGATCTATCCTGCTTCTGGGACAAGTGTAGGGTCTGCAACTGCAAGAGATGCAAACCCATCACCACCTGCCAGGGGCTTCCAGGCTACCCCTTCATAGGTTACCCCAATTCCTTCCTGGAGCCCATGGAGTAGTCCATGGGCCTCAGTTTCCTCTTTCTCTCATATGAGTATGCTCTGCCCCAGCAGGATCAAAGCTACACAAAGAAAGGCCAGTTTCAAAGAGGTTAACACCCTCTGGAGCTACACAAATCCATAGCATCTCTACATTTCCATTGCTACACATATGCCCAAGTCACAGGCACGGGACAACAGCTGAGACCTTCACTTGCAATGTGAAGATAAACTTGGGAATGTAAAGATAGAGCCAGGCTCCTTTACAAACCTTCCACGCGCAACTAAGGGCATTTTGGGATGGGAATCAACAAGCTCATTTGCTTGTTTAAGAAAAAAATATTGGAGATGCGTCCCTGCATTAGTTCTTCCTCCTTTGAAGTTGTTGTCTTTTTTTTTTTTTTTTTTTCAGTTTCAGAACTGAATCAAGGCAAAGTCAAGTATGTCTCCTCTCTCTCTCTCCCCACTTAGAGTTCAAGAACGCCTGCTCAGCTTGGACCTGTGGCCTTAAAAGAAGTCACAGTGGCATGGCCTGTCCTCACAGGGCCTCCAGGAGAGCCAGGGTTTTGTCACCATCAAATCACTGTTCTTACATAAGCAAAACTAAGTGTTAGTGCGCAACACCTACCCTAACGCAGAACGTATGCAATTACCCAGTACAGTAGCATTCAAACAGAAATCCGCATCCTCACACTTCAACATAGTTTTACCGTGTAAGACAAAGAATATGTTAAAGAAAAATAGGAGGGAGAAATAAGACTTTCCCTCCACACACACCCCCTTGCAAAATCATATGCATAAGACATCCCGTCACACACCAAAGCGCTGAGAAAAACAGTGGAGTCCTGATTTTTTTTCCCCCTTACCACCCCGCCTTGTACTGAACACAGGAGTCACAAGACATTAAAAAAAAAGCTTTCTACACAAAACCAATTTCCTCAGCCAGAGAGCAGAAATCAGGATATTCATGGCAATCCCTCCCCACTCCCATCACGAGGATGCAGCTCACATGGCAGCCCTGTCCCTCTGTGGACCAAGCCCTGGTGCCAAGCAAGGGTGGCAAGAGTCAGCACAACTCTCATTTTCTTTGCAGTGTTACACCTCGATCTCAACTTCTATTTTTACCTCATTCAAATTATTCCCTTTGAGCTTCTTTAAAGAAGTGCACCTACAGGATTCGGAAACAACTGGCTTTGACTTGAAAAACAAAAAGGAGAAAAAAATAAAAAGAAAAAAGTATCAGAACATCAGAATTGTGGATTTTTTTTTCTCTGTACCTGATATATTGTGTAGGGATCTCTAGTCCTCTTTGAAGAAGCTCATAAGCCAAGCGGGCAAAGCTTTAGGAAACAGAAGAAAATAAAACAGTGCATACTCCTGAGAAAGAATTACATACTCATATCACTCTTTTTGTTGTTGTTGTTGTTGTTGATGTTAACAGTTCTTTAAAAACGGGGAAAAATATCTCTCACATACACCACTAAAGGAAGTTAAGGATTGTAACATTGGCATAGTTAGGAATACAAAACTCCCTAGAGAAAAAGAGGAGATCTCAGGAAGTTAAGAAATCACCTAGCACTAACATTTCACCAGACCTGACTTCCAAATTTTGCARCCCCTTATAGACAAGGCATTTTACCATCAAAGGCAAGTACCAAATTAAAAAGGTATGTCTGCATGCATGAATATGTGTGATGGTGCACACATATTAAATACATATATATGTATGTATACATACATATATATACACACAACCATACAGAATACACATACACACCCCTGCCACATTATGTGGATGCATACGCATATGCACACACATAGGCACACACGCACACATACACACCTGTAAACACTGGTAATCTCAACAGAGAGGCTGTCTAGACCAGGAAAAAAAAAAAGGATTCTTAAAAAATAAGAGTTAGCTAATTTAATTAAGCCAACATGCCTCGAAATGTCCGCTCTAATGCCATTAAGTGGAGTGGCTGTCACAGAACGTACATAGAGCTGATGGGTTTTGTTGTCCTTGCCAAAGGTCTGAGTCTTTGCATGCCCACTCGTGCCACCTCCTTTCCTAGTCTAGACAGAGCCAGGGTGGTGGGATGAGATGGGAAATGCCTGAGAATGAGACGATGGGGTTGCTCGGAAAGGAGCACGCTGGAAGATACTTTTGCCTATTGTGGGACAGGACATCATTCCAAAATAAAGGAAAAAAAAAAAAAGAATGAAACAAAATAAAAATCACAATAAAGACAGACCGTGCATCTCAAGAAATCAAAGCACTGACACCAAAAATGTTTCTCCAATTTCTTCCAATAAGTTATTCATTTCTTTCTTTTATTATTATTAATTATTATTATATTCCCCCCCCACCCCAAATCATTTGTTTCTTAATGTGAATGAGCAGAAGTGGGAAAAAAAAAATCCTGGTGGTTGTCTTCACATGTTCCTGGCAAGAGACTCTGAACCACTGGTCTTGCGCCATTGTGCTCCTCTGATCTTAAATTATTGTCTTTCTTTAATTATTATTATTTTTATTATTATTATTATTATTTTGTCCTACCTAATAGAATTCTTCCAAAGCCCAATCCAATATTTTTAAAGCTAAAATTAAGACGTTTTTTAAAAGATTATCTTTCTTTCTTTTCCTTTTATTTATTTTTTTTTTTTTCCTTTTTTTTTCTTTCCTTTTTAATTTTTTTTTTCATTTTCTGTGTTTCTCTTCCTTGTCTCCAGTTTTACTACCTGGTCCTTCGCCAGATGTGTGCCTGTTAGCAGTGTTGTTGTTCAAAAACATCTTGTCCATGCCTTTGAGAGCTTCAGTTAGGTAGTTTTGAAGGGCCGTGAGAGCGGCGCAGATAGCGGGGGCCCCAAAGCCGTGAGTGATGAGGCTGAAGTGAGTCAAGCAGCTCTGAATGCCTGGTTCCAAAATTGGGGTGGGCCGGCTGTTCCCAATGGGCGTCCTGTCCTGGGCCAAGAGATCTGTAAATTCTTTACAAAGTTGCCTGCATGGAAGAGAGGGAGATGAAGGGAGAGAAGAGGAAAAGAGAGAAAAGTGGTGGTTAGACTCATACCATGCTGGCAGTGGTCCTTGGGACAGCAGAGATTGAAGGAAAGGGCAGGAGCAAAGCAAGGCTTGTCCCAGGTCCCTTGACCACCTTCCTCCCTCCAGCAGCATGGGGGACCMAGCTGTTGTTCCCACCCAGAGGCCAGTGGAGACATTCAGCCTCCAACCAGTACCATGCTCTTCAGCAACCAAGGAGTGAACTACTGCAATGGGTTTATTGGGAGAGCATCGAGTCTGGAGATCTGGAGACAAAAATCTCCATCACCAGGATGCCTCTGAAACACTCTTAAGAGGAAAAAAATAAAAAGAAGGAAAAAAAAAAAAAAAGCCTCTAGAAACATCCAGGTAGTGGAAAGGCAGCATGAGTTTTTCATCCATCCATCTATCCAGGGGTCTGAGCCAAGTCTTGAGCTGTGCCCATCCATGCTGCTCCTGGAGGAAAGCTGTGGGGGGACCTACATGGACCTGAAGCCACATGCCTGGAGGCTCATGTGGTAGCCCAGGGAGGGGGGCAAAACCCATTTGAGATGGCTCTTCTTCACATGAGGACAAAAGCTGGGGGATTCTGTCTTATTTGACAGGGGATGAACTCAAATCAAAACATCAGAGGTGACATACAACTCTTGTTTGTTTTCTCCACACCTTGGAGAATCAGAGCTCTTTTATATATATATATATATATATATATATATATATATTTCTCCCTTTACATTGCTTTAGTCCAGAAGGCCTTCAAGTCAACAGGTACTCAGGCAAAGTGGAAACCCAAGGGGCAGGAAGGTTCTCCCAAAAGAGTAAGCAGTTTGAGAAAGATGCCTACCCAGGGACCACAGAATAAAGGGCTGAAGGGAGAAGAAGATGAAGAAAGAAAAAAACGAGGAAAAAAATGATTTAAAAGGGCATACAGCTCTCATCCTCTGAAAATCTCTGTTCATTCCCAGTGGGTTAAAGGTTTCAGAGGATGGAGAAAGATAAAGGTCTACTTCTATGTGTATTATCCATTAAGAAAGTGCAAGAGAGGAAACTTTGAATTTGGAGAACAAACAGTAATGAGTCTAACATTTTACATCTTCAAAGAGCAAAGCAGGGTCTGTGAGCAATTAAAGTTCTGGGACATTAATATCTCCTGACCCTGAGGAAAAGGGCAATCAAATTCCAATCATGTCTAAAAAACATCTGGACAAATTTGAGCAAATGATTTTTCAACCCTCCATATATTTCTTTAAATTACGCTGTCATCAGAGCAAATCACGTCCCAGAGCATGAAATAAATGAGAACTCTTTAGGTGAGTTTTTTTTCCCTTATCTTTTCCTTTTCTCTTTCAGAAGAGAGCTCTAAAACACCCAAATAGCTAACCCAGGATGAAAAGGARGGTGCAAATCAAATGATACAGAAAAATAAAAAGCTATAGAGAAAGTGCCTGGGGAAAGAGATAGATGTGAGGGGATATCCAAACTTAGAGGCAGATTCACAGTTTCCATCTCCCTACCTGCTTCGCAAAAGTGTCCGCATTTTTTTTTTTTAAACCACAGATGGCTTTCTTTTTGACTATTATTATTATTAAACAGTGTAGGAAAGACATTGTGATTTAGCAACATCCACAAAGGAGTGTGTCAGCATCAGGGTGAGACAAACAGGCAGCGTTGTTCCCCCTTGCAACCGTGGAAGTGGGAGCAAAATATAGATATTTGGCCTCCTTTCCATGCCTTTTTTTTTTTTTTTTTTTTTTTAAAGAGGCGTGGAGGATTAGCTCGGAAACTATCTAATGGACAGTTGCCTACATCACAGAGAAACCTTATTGCAGAAGGACGTGGAGGCAAAGTACGAGCATCACTTTCTCCCACCTCACCCGGCTATAACCGGGGGCCTGCAAACTCCACATGAGGAATATATACATATATATATAAATATGTATTCTCATAGAGGGCAAAGATGGCCAGCTTGGCACTCACTTTGTAGCAAGCAGCATGTTTTTCCTGGAGTGGAGGTCGCTGGGGTCCGTATGCTGCCTGTTCAAGTACTCAGAAACAGCCTTGGCTGGAAACTCCGTTTCGCAGATGTACCCAAAATCCCGAGCTAAATGAACGGCCTCACCTGGATGAAAGGAGAGGAGCATTAGCAGTCTCTAATCGCCTCCCTGCTGGGGGGAGTCTGACCGGTCGAGAGGGTGGGAACCCATTAGCATCCCCTGCACCTTAGAGACGGGCTCCGGGTTCCTCCTCCCCCCACCCATAAGACTTTTTTTTGTCGGAAGAAGTGACTTTATGGGGCAACTTTTCAGCTGAGATCGGTTTTTGCTTCAGCTTGGTCCTAGGCAAACCACGCACACATGCAAACATACATACACACAAACTGGACATGGAGAAAAAAAAAAAAGAAAGAAAAAAAAGAAAGGAAAATTACTTAGATCCCTAAAATGCGGAAAGCTCAAAACTCTTTTAAAGTAGAGAATTCGCTGAATTCAAACCTGTTTCAATGCACTTCATTGTCGAGAGTTTTACAGATAGTTACAGATAAGGATGTCCCTTCTCTGCGGAACATTAAACACTTCCTTCCAGGTGCGCCCACATAGAAGGAGAGGGAGCGACTGCATTGTTATTGCAATCGCTGCTGCTTCTGGAAAATGATGCAGATATAAATTCTTTTCCTCCGCGAGAAACCATGAACCCACAGCAAACTCCTCTTCGCCTGGTGGTAAGGTACCAACTAATGGCAACCTTTTTTCCCGTGTAAAATAATAATGATGATGATTATTCTAATTCTAATTCTAATTCTAATTCTATTTGTCACTTCTTCTGCCTGTCTGGGCTCAGGTTTCTAGCCTCCAGAGGTTCGTGTCATCAAACTCCTACTGATGTACTTCATGCCACGAGAAGACGACACAGTAGCTGAAGAAAGGAGGAAAAGAAGACGGAGTTGGGAGGAATACAAAACTCCCTCAGACTCTAGGGGGATCCCACCACATTATAGCTCCCTCCATCCCTAGAATAAAGCGTTAAAGCACCGCCTGAGGGACCAAGGGAAAGATTTCCAACACGCAAAACAGACATGCCTAATAACTCCAGGATCGCATTATTTTTAATGATTGGGACTTGCGGCACAACGCCTTTTTTATTATTTTTTTTTCGGGGTTTCTCACTGATGGCCAAAGGGCTTGGTCGTGGTAAAGGCACCAGACTGGGCTCAGTGGCCGCCCGGTACAGGAGAGTACCTTCCTGGGCTGGGCTCAGCCTGCCTGGGTCTTGAAGTAGCATTTTGCCTATAGGGGAATCCTGATCGGTGTCAGGGAGCAGGCTGCAGCCCGGGAAAGTGCAGCTGGGTCCGCTTTTTTTAAGGCAAGCTGTTATTTTGGAGCTATATACCGATAGAGATTCTGGGGAGCCAGTCCCTATAGTCCCTTTGGGGTTAGCTCTGCATGCGGGTTTAACACCTGCATAACTCAACCTCCAAGAGCCCGAAGACTCGAAAAGTTAATATCTAGCGCAAATGTTTATGCATACTTATATGCAGAAGAGATAACCGAATTATTTCTACGTCTCTCGGTGTGTATGTATAATGCAGATACATGTAATTCATAATTACATCGGTACCATTTAGTTAAGCAGGTTTTTGTGTTTTTTTTTTTTTTTTTTTTTTTTTTTTTTTTTTTTTTTTTTGGGTGGTGGCTGAGAGTGATTGTCCAGCTTTTCTTAGCGTAAACACACGCACATACCCTAAGCATATTAGCGGCTCTTAATTTACTCTTCAATGTGGTGACAATAAATCAAATAAAAGCTTCGAGGGCCAAAATGACGTGAACACATTTAAAATCTAAGCCTCTTCTTCCTTCTTTCCTTCCTCAGAAGTGTACCTTTGTTTGCATCTAGTCA